ACGTCAGTTCTCCCTTTTTAGTGCAAAGAGCGCTACTGTGACCGCATATCTTCTGGAATCTTCCTTAGCTCGATTCAAGAAATGTCGTCTGCTTTTTCATAAGTATTGTGTGTTTGCCAGGGTTGAAATAGAGAATGGGAACATATTGTTTGTCATTAGCAGCTTGTTTGTTTCCTCTCCTATGAAAGAGGGCCAAAAGTTCATATTCAACCGAAACAAACTTCATTATTATTGCCGCAAACTCCGCGGCCGCCAATTAATTTCATCAGCCGATATGGTGACGGTGGGATATAATTTAGGTCAAGTAAAGATCTCTACCTTCAATACTTCCCGTTGAAACGCTCCTCAGTTGTGTTACTCGATAGCATTGTGTATTAGTTTGACGTGGTTTTATTGTTAACACCAACGCTGGCAACAGAATAAGAACACGCTCTTCCGTGACTCGACGTGACTATTTGATAATTAGACTAGTTCTTGTTTATCGGTGAAATGAAAATTTGCGTTTTGAATAAAACAAAATCGTTCCTCTTCGACTCTTCAGCAGATATTTAACTTTTATTTTCCATTTATCTCCAGCAGTGAGTAAAAATATACACATCTTTCTTCTATTTTCGTGGAAACAAAGGTACCTTGTGGCACACACTGGCGAAGAAAACAAAAGTATCAAGTTACAAACGTTGGCGTGAAACGTACAGTTGTCACATTTGCTGCAATGACTTTCAAAACCGTCTAGACAAACGGTAATTGTAACTTATTTTTGGGTCTTGAAAGAAAACACAAACACAAAACATACACACTGCTAAGATTATGTCTTATCAAGTTTTTGTCCGCTCATATTCCGTTCATATTAGATGACTACCAAGGGAGAGAACGGCATGGGTGAGGACCTATGTGACTACTGTATCAGAGCGGTAAATTACACTCTGCACTATCTAAGATTGTCTCACTAGTTTTTCTCGGGAACTGAATTTGTCATCAAAATTCTAAAATGTCGAAAAATTGCCGACCAATACATGTTATTTCCAAGGGCAGTCCTAATATTTGAGCTTTGAACATGTTCAATGCATCCGGGATCTAGGTTTAAGATAATGGAGAATCTTGCCAACTACAACTTCAATGCCTCGCTCTCGCAGTCTTTGCAGTCCCAGTTTCCCTGAGCTCATGGTCATGAACAGGTTCGATTATTCGCCATTGGAAGAAATGTTTTCGTTAGCAACCGGCCGTTTCCGTGTCTTTGCACACGTTCCGTTTCCAGGCACCGTTATGTAGATCAAAAAGTCTTACCTGACAGAAATGACTTCTCTCTAGAAACACAGTTTGCAGTTGTAAAAGTTCCGCTGATTAGTATCTTGAAATCGGTTGCCGTTTTCTTCCGCTATTGTCACAACGGGTTTTTCCGCTCTGAATCTTAAAAGGGGGAAACAGACGTTAAGGGGCGTTAAGGAGGAAAAGAACTCGACTCGGGAATTGGCTGGAACAACTCGCTTGCTGCGGGAGAGGAACTTGTCACGGGTTCCAAAGTACCGTCGAATCTGCTCCAACTGGAAATAAGGACTAAACTTGGACTAAACTTGGACTAAACTTGGACTTCACGCGTTTATTCTTCTTTCTTCAACGTCGACGTAAATCGTAGATCGTCGAGATGTAAATCGAATTACAATGATAGGAGGACTTTATTTATACCAGTGAGGAACAGGATTACATTATCTTACGTAAAATTGATAGAGGGCTGAATTAAGTCAGCTTGAAAGCTGAAAGTAGCCTGAATAAACGCAGCTGCCTAATGAGTAAAGCCACCTTGAAGCCTAGATAAATTCGGCGGACGATTGGTGATCTCAACAAAGCTAGCTGTGTTAGGGCAGCTTTCATTTATATGTTCAGGCTAGAAAGCTGTCAGTTTACACTCAGCTGAGTTTTCTTTCGCTGAATCAGCGAAAAATAAATTTATTCTATTTAACGTGCATACAAATTGTTATTTATGCAGGAGTATGATCTAAAGTTTGCTGAAAGTACATTATTTAGTGCACTATTTGTACAGGTTTCCGGGGAAAAGATAACCTCTAGAACACCAAAAATCCTACTTTTGTATTATTGCAGTCCATGTGAACATTAACCTAAGTTCTATGGAAAAAGGTTTGCTACTGACTCGATATTTTTTTTTCTTCAACATAATTAACCTTAACATGGTTTCTCTTAGACCTATTCACACATTATAGGTAAATATAAGGTCCATTTCACGTCGAGGAATTTTCAATGTACACCTGTCATCATCGAAATTTAACCGTCAACCAGTTAGAAACCTTTACCTTTTTTAAAAAGATATAGATTTCGAAGGTAACTCCCCTTTCGGAGAAGTACCACAACTCTAAATTGTTTTGCGTTTGTTTGTGTGGGGTTTCTTTACGTAATCTTAATATGGCTAAATAACTACACTCTTTTCAAATCTCCCCTAGGTTAGCGCAGACATTCGCTGGTAGTATTAAAGTGTTAATTCATGTTTCACCCAAAGTTAAGCCACATGTTCTTTCTTCCTTCCGGATTATTTCACCGAATGTAAGTTCGTGATGGAATGTTTTATTGTTCTTTCTTAGAGGGTATTTCAGTATCGATAAACCCGACAAAAAACATCAGCCCACCTGCTGATTGTTCTTGGGTCTGCTGCAGATACATTGTTTTGCTTGATCGTGTATTTTTATGTAATAGAGATGTTCGATTTTCTGACAGGGTTTACATTAAGTTTGACAAGTTATTTAAATGATCTTTAACAATTTAAGATACAAAACCACAAGATCAATGACTTCTTTACGGTGTGGCATAACTGAGCAGCATATGACTTTCACTGATCGGAAGGGTTTGTCGCCGGATGCATACCCAGTTAAATTGAATGATAATACAACAAACGCAACAAATGTCTGTATAAACTGACTGCGTCCATATCAGCGAACCGTGGCCCCACAGAAATGCCAGACGCTGTGTATTACATGGTCATTTTATTACGCTAGTCTTTTAAAGGGCATAATAGCACAACAGGACACAAACTCCCCGTTACCTTTTGAGTTACTCCGGTTGGGATTGAAAAAAAAAAAACATTGTCATGAAGCAAAACTTCTAGGGTAGGGGGGGATTTCCTTGGCTTAAAAGGGAACGTGTCGCTGAACAGTAAGGGAGCAGGAGGGGGAGGGGGGGAGAGGGAGACCTCTTTTCGAACTGGCTTGTTAGGGGAGAGAAGTTTGCGCTTCAGAAACGTTGACGTCACTCGTCACTGTATATCAAACTCACCGAGAATATATACTGGGAGCAGGGGAGTTTTCACTATACACATTTTTATATACAACCACCTTAAACACAGGAGGTAATGTCTTTGAGTTTGGTCCAACTGTTATTTTTCGGTTGTCTCAACGATGCTGATAATGTAAGTTATTTATTTACTTACAAAGTGTCCTTCTGAATGATCCTCTTTTTAGGGAAGAGGTGACAGCTTAACGCAACTATTGAAGAAGTACTAATCCAATATAAGTCTTTCCATAATTTTGCCCTAGACTCGGCCAAATGTAATGCACAATAAAGCGTTCAGCGAACAGTTGAGGATTCTCGCAATGAAAATGGCCGAGAAGAGTCGAGTGTAGAATCGATTAGGCGAACACCAAACAAAGAGTTGTACTCCGATTTTGTCAAACGTTGTGGACGTGAGCCGCTGGCTTAAGTTTGTGAACACGGCAATGATGTGGCAGGTGCACAGGCACTCTTCGCCCGGCGACTAGTGTCTTATGCAATGCGAAAATGATTTCCTGCATTCCTTTCAGCCGCATTTGCCTGTTGAAAGACAGGTAAACTTATAGATACCGCAGTCCCCCTCAAAATAAGGAAAATAAGGAAAATAAATAAGGAAAATGATGACGTCACAAATTATTCCACTAAAACAGTAAACTACTGAATCAAGAATATCTCTAGAAATATTAGAGCGGTGCTCTTCAAACTTGGGAGGCGCGGTGGCCTCATGGTTAGTGCGCTCGTCTCCGGATCGAGCGGTCCGGGTTGGAGCCCTGGCCGGGGACATTGTGTCGTGTTCTTCGGCAAGACACTGCTCTCACAGTGCCTCTNTGCTACAGAAACCGGGATAAGCTCCGGCCTGATGGGCCACTTGGCTCGCATGCAGACTTTACCTTTTACCCTCTTCAAACTTGGCACCAGAAATGTACATCACAAAAGAAAAAAAATGATACCCGTTGTGCCATTGCCATGACAACACTCTTGGCTCAAGTCTCTTTCTGTCATATTTTGTAAGGACAGAAGCACAGGCCACAACTTGAGGAAAAATGACACACAGGATCTTGTCCCAAATCTAAGTAGGACTAATGGTTTTAAATATAGTTTTTTTAACCGTATTGTTAATGAATGGAATAGTTTACCTAATCACATTAGAGAAGCAAATTGTATTGGAACTTTTAAAAGGAATGTTTTAAGTTATCTTATGGATAATTAGAATATTTGTATATTTGTATTTGTATTTGTATTTGTATATGTATTTGTATATTTGTATATATGTTTTAAATTTTAATATTTGGGGATATCCCTAGTATGGTGCCATTGCGCTTTTGGTTGTCTCCTTCTCCACCGCTTTTTGTTTGTTTGTTTTGTTTTTAGTTAGTTATCTTAATTATTCATAATGTATTCGTAATCGTAATAAAACCAAATATCTCCATTTACAACCCTTTAAAGGGGGAGAGACGGTCCTTCTGGGAACATACATGGTGCCCATTTTCTTAACTGTCCTCATTAGATTGTTGGGAGTGGATGATCCCTGGTTAAGACAAAAACTGTGAATCGCAGTGTTAATTAACACGGGACCAGCGGTAAAACTGTTGCCATGGCATTACCACAATAGGTATCATTTTGTTTCTTTTGTAATGTACATTTCTGGTGCCAAGTTTGAAGAACGCCGCTCTAATATTTCTAGAGATATTCCTTATTCAGTATTTAAATATCTTTAAAACAAAAAAAGATATTCCAAAAAGGAAAACGCCATTCTTCTTTATTTTATTTTTCATTTCATAGGTACTTTAAATATCTGTAGGTTTTTTGTTCACTGAATTTTTCACCATGATGAAGGTGACAGATGCCACCGAAAATAACAAAAAACCTACAGATCCGATATATTTAAGTCAAATGATCATACTTAGTCTACAAGTGGAGTTGCTGCTGAACATTTCTTACCGCATAAGTGTACAAGCACAAGATTTCGTGGGTTGGCCTTCCTTAGATTCTGGGCCCGCCTTGCTTCATCTTATTAGTTGTAGGTGGTCTCATATTTAAACATATTCAAGGAGTCACGTCACAATTATGTTAATTAATTAACTAAGCATCTTCTCAATAAAAAAGTTTTCTTTTCACCTTTGTGCGAATTGTGAACGAAATATGAATTTTAATCAAACAGTCGTACTTCAATGTTCGACATTGTCGACAAAATGAAGAAAGTTTAGCTGGAAAAATTAAATAACAAAACCTGGTAAGTGATGGAATCTAAAATCACTGTTTCCAGCGCTTTTAAGAACTAGATCGAAATTTTTATTTCATTATCTTGATTGACAGCCGTAAGACTGAATGAACCAAGGTTACGGTAAATACAGCTGAAAGCACACCACCAAAAAACAAGTTTCCCTCGATCATTTAAATAAAGAGTCGATAAATACATTAAATGCATTCTGACTTGCATTTTTATTTGACAATTGGCGTGTGGCAAAACAACTCAGGAACATTGCAAATGGCATAAAATATGCAGTAATCCCTACAATTCAAATAAACCAGTCGAGTTACTGAGTATAAACAGCAGTTTCTTCATTGGACGCAAGTGTTTCTGTCAAGCTTCTGTACGCCTTCATGGTTCAGACAAAAGAAGGAAAGAATCTAAAATATAGAAGGTCCTTCCTTCCGGCTTAATTTTCAAGAAGTTTTTTGGAATCAAAATTCGTGATGGAATGCTTTTATTCTTAATTATGAGTTTAAATTCTAATCTATCAACTGTAAACAATAACCTGAACAATACTGAAGGAGATCAGTGAGTCTTGTATACATAGTGCTGCTGTTGAAATATTTACATATCTGAATGCTGAACAGAGACTAGTACAGATCGGACTAGTACAGATCCTCTAAAGTAATAAAGAATAATAGCGTTTTCAGTTTTTCACATCCAACGAGAGGGTGGAAAGATTCCCCGCTGTCAAATCACATTGCAATGCTGTGCCAAGATGGCGGCTGTACATTTTACCACAATACTATGCAAACCTTGCGTAAACCATAAAATACAAGGAAAGCCATATATATATATATATATATATATNTTTTTTTTTTTTTGCAATATTTGTCCTTGAGCTACTCAGAGTGAATACGGGGTTTGGAGATGTTAGAACTTTCCTGTACGGTTTTATGTTTTAAGTTTTCGTGTCACTAAGAATTACAGGTAAATGCATCGCCATCTTTTCTCCTGCGAAGGATTGAAGCCACGCGGTTTAGCGGGGCTGACGCGCTCTGCACTCGTGTTTCACGCGGCTTCCCGCTCTACCCGGCTCAGTGAACCTCATGTTCTTCAGCCTACATCAGCTCGCCCATTTCCGTGTCCCTAATCTAGAGACATATACAAAAGCTGAGTAACCAGACGGTTGAAGCCATCTATCATTGACACAAAAAGCGACTCCAGCTGCATATCACTGCCAGCTGCATATCACTGCCAGCTGCATATCACTGCCGTATATTTCGCGGTGACGTGTTTTCTATACTATGTTCCCATGTTCTAAGTTTAGCAGTATTCATAAAGGATCTTGAACAATCTTGAAGACAAAATATTCAGATACCTCCGGATCAGTTCTTCAAGCTTTTGTTTTGTGCGCGCGTGTAACCCACACGTGCTGTGTGCTGGTGGAGACCAATTTATCAAGTGCTGCCTCGGTGTCGGCTTGGTGACTCGGTCAGTGATGCTCTAAACATATCAACACTTGTTAGTACTGGCACACAATCTCTTCTTCCGACGGACGCCAGGTCGAAAAAGAAGCACAGAAAATGGAGTGTATAGCTATGCTATGTTATGTCGTAATTTATTACATAGTAGAAATCTTATAGATTGTCTCGAATCCCGGGTGAACGTCTTTGAAGATTTTGGGGAAGATCATGGAATGCCTAAGCCATTAATGCAAATTCGTTGAAAGATAATACTAGAACATTTCAGCCTTTCTGTTTTCCAAGAACCAGCAACATAGATTTTGTCAAAATCTAGCTCAGCCCCAGAAGTTCACAGTGATGGGCTTTCTAAAAGCTACACGAACACAATCTGATCTTGATAACTCTAGGTCTTGATGGTATACATCATTTAATGAACCCCATGGAGCTCGGCTGTTTTATACGTCTTGTTAGAGCTGTAGTTCAGTATTACACGAGCCTACACAACTAATTTTACCCGTTTTGTTTTCATCTTCACGAATATCATTTCGCAAAATAAAAACCTAATCGCATTTATTTATGTAATTTAATTGCACATTCTTTTAACTTTTAACTCGCTATTCGTTTCCGAATTGTATCATCAAATGTAATGTGCGCCGTCCGCAAATGAAAAAACAAATTAATTTGTCTCTATATTGATATCTTTTCAAATGTTTTGCGAATTATGATTTCCCGTCCGGAAAGTGGCAGAAGCAATGTAGAAACCTTGCAACCGTTTGTTTCCTTCTCAGGATAAGCATGGAAGAAGAACCGGAAATTTGCGGCATGCGCTTAGGCACGAAAGTGTTGTGGTTAAAACACAATGAGCCTGGGAGTCCACATCTCACAAGAATTCAGCTGATGTGAGCTCCTACACTTTCTTTCTGTCACTGAAAACTAAACAGCTAATCGAATTTCAATGCGTTGTGGGTTTTTTAGTTGTCGTAACAAGCGATGACAGAATATTCCGACGAGAGCACGGGAGTTCAAAGGGAGTGGAGATGTCTGCTTCCTGACCGCAACTATTTACAGTAACTTAACGAGCCAATTAAGTTACAGTACACCTTACGCATAATTAGCCAGTTATCAAGGCGCGAGACTAGAGTCTCCAAAGTTACTTAGACTGGTGCCAAACAGCCGAGAACTTGACTGTTTTTAACAGAGAGGGTGAGCTTGCTCGCGAGGCAGTCACTGTTGGCGATATGTCTTCACGAGTGAAATATGGTTCGGCGTTTTCGCCTGTCATCCCTTCCAAATCCATCCTAAATCATCCTTTCTCTATTAAAAACCTGCTAAATCTTGACGACCAAGGAGGTGCAGACAAGGAAGATAATAAAACAACTACTGACTTTCCTACTCCATGCCAACATTTGCCAAGAAAAACACGCCCTATGAAAGAGGACAAGGGTTTGGCAGCAGATAAACTGAACCTAAATTGTCTTTGGCCAGCATGGGTTTACGCTACGAGATATTCAAGGCACGGAATTCCTGCAGGTAGGTTTCAAAATTACAAATTATGCTGTATTTCCTCATTACAAGGAATGATGAAGTCTTGTAGCATGTTATCTTGGCCACGTGTGAATCTCTTGGTTGGTAAAGTGCTAAATTAGACTTCACATGGAAAACCATAAATCACATTTTATGATTCTGGTTCTTACTGATGTATTTTAGCAATCGCACCTACTTAAAATCTAGTACTATTTTCACAATTTGATTTTGTTTATTTCCAGAGCTGAGCAATTAAACATAGTAGCTTTTAACAACATATCATCCCGAGATTTATAAATATTGATACAAACCAACATCTTTCTCACTTGAGAAACATTTAGGCATTTTACAATTAAAAGAAAGGCGTAGCAGACTACTGTAGTATAATACTTGGGACAGTTTCTCGTCTCTCAGTCAAATAACTGGTACGTTTTCGCAATCAGTTCTTTACGGCGGAGCTGCTGGAAGCGTATACTTCCCTGGTCATCATTCAGGATATTTACAAACCAGTTCTTCTGAATTGTTTTTCCTCATTGGGGAAAAGCTAGAGACAAAGGGTTACCGGAGTTGCCGACAACCTTTCTTTACGATTCGATAATCTTTGGTTAGTTGCTTCTGTAAACATTCTCTGGAAGATCCCCAAAATAAAGATTCATAGTGTAAATTATGTCACTTGACCAGATAAAAATGTCACAAATGTTAAGAACTGTTGTCAAAGAGATTGCGACAAACGACCGCAGAGGTGCTAACAAAATTAGCCAATTACCAAATCATGATTAGCAACGGCAAATTATCAATCTCACTCGGAAATATTTTTGAAAAATTTTAACTGATTTCCTGATGCATAAAATTTTTTAGCTCAAATGGACAGGAGATAAAAAATGTCAACAGAAGTAGTAAATCACAGATACTGCAAGTAACACTCGCGCGTCACGCAAAAACGCGCACGCGAGCAATTCATTGAAATTAGATTTCGTGTGTCCTCAATGGAAACATGCTTCCGCCAAAGTCCATTTGTTTATTCTTATTTGTTGTTTAATGCTGGTCATCTGAGGAATCCTCTCCGGAGTAGATAGTTGTATTCATCGTTACAGGATTAAAGTAAGTGTTGGCGAGCACCGTTAACCGTCCGCCATGTCCGCTGAGTGGTCCTCAGTCACACATTAGCTTTAAAAGCAAGCCTCTACCTATTTATATTGTAGCATGTGCGACAGTCAAGCTTTGAAACGGAAGAATCATTAAGAAGTCAGACGTCTATGAACGAATAAGTAATAAAACTAATTCAGTAAAATTATTTCTTGACTTTCTTGCTGCTTTGAGTACAAATATCCCTAGGGAGTTTATAAATGTTTTCTAGCATATCTTGCAAGTTTGTGTTATCGGTTACTATTACTGAACACGTAACTGAACTGAGAGTACAGTAAGACACGAAATGTGTTTGTACGGTAATTCAACCATACATAGTCTACATAGGTCATAAACAGTAAGACAACATATAACTTTATTTCCGGTTAACAAATTCTCGCTTCGATCTACTCAATCTGATTTGATCTTTCAGTTTATTGCTTCCATCACTATTAAAACTGTCCAGTATATCGAGACAAAACTGTTAAAGCAGTTCGATGGCTCTCTGACCTTGTTGTGTCATAATCTTTCCCCATTCGTTTTTATTTTGCAGCAAACTACACGAACCCAAGGCGGCCTCGAAAACCCATTAAGAGACAAAAACAACGGCCACTTTTCACGCCAGAACAGCTCCACAAACTTGAGGAAGAATTCGTTAACGAAAAGTATATCTCCAAGTCTCGACGGTGCAAATTAGCTTTGGAAATAAGCCTCACGGAGGCTCAAGTACGCACTTGGTTTCAAAATAGACGTACAAGATGGCGGAAAGAAGTACACGAGGAAGACGAGGATCCCAGTTGGACCACACACTCTGGAATGTCAAAGTATGATACCAGTGTTTTAGGTGGCAACTCTATGATAATACGTGGATACTGTTCATGATGAAATCTTGAGCTAACCCGCGCGGCATTTTACCCAGTTATACAATACGCTACCCATCATTGACAACAGTGCGCTCTTCGCTTCTCTAGCAAGACTGACAAGACCACCATACAGTGAATGATAGAAATGAAGCCATGTCGGGTATCTGGAACAGTGTATTAAAGAAAGTAATGATGATCCAGCAAATAAGACTGATTAATGAGTAAAAATCATTGTTTAACGTTGCTAAGTAGAACAGAATAACTGAAAGTAAATGATCATTTTCCAGCTCATCATGTTCAGTTGAGGGTGCTTCGAACACTCAAGTTGCTCTAGATTCTGCGACTTGTTTAAAATCTCCTTTCGCCAAATGATGAAAAACGTCTCTCGTTTTATTTTATGAGGTTTTACAATCACTTTGTTCAAAACCTTTTCCTCTACTGAAACCAGTTACTGTCTGTGTGTATGTGCGGATTTGTTGAATCAGCAGCATATAGATGACTACATAACAAGCATGAAATGTAGCAGTTTCTGAATTTGATCATGAACATTATCATATAATCCATTCGGGGTATTTCGCTGAACGTTTCCTGCTTACTTGATAAACCAAGGATATGACAGCATCTTACAGTAGAGCCGTCAATTTCCAGGAGGTGAGCTGTAATGTCTACAATCATTTTAGCTTGGCACTGAATCATCAGTTTGTTGGCAAAAGAATTGTACACTGATGGCTGTCTGGCCTGCTTTACGAGACATATTCAGGGCACAGTTACACTGTTATAATGATTCTTGAATCAGCACAACATAGTGCTCCAATAGTGCTCCAACCACATGTTGCATGTAGTTCCAGACTATGTCAAAAGCCTCAGTAAATCATTCAGCTAATTCATGTTTGTATAAATAAAATTGATTCAATGTGCTTGTGTTTTGGTTGAATCTGAAGTAACTGTTTGTATAAATAAAATTGATTCACTGTGCTTGTGTTTTGGTTGAATCTGAAATTCCTTACAAGCTAGACTTCGGATAGAATGATTATTTCGGGAAGGCCGTGATCATCAAAAGCTAATTAGTTTAATTAACTGGGCAGCATATTTAATATATTGTGCAGCATAAAGGAGATATTTCAATTTTTAGGTACCTTTGGATTACTTCTATGACACAAATCAGGTATTAAAAAACAAGAAAATCAAAATGTTGCTTAAGGTTTCTGCTTTGGAAGAACACAGTTTGAAACATGGCATGTGTGACTGTACCCTCGACTGCCGACTGTCTTCATTTTAGGATTTTTGCTCTCAAGACTTCACTCTCTGTTACTGCGTAATATACTGTTGAACATTTATAGAGATGACGTATGTCGTGGGCCCTTTTTACTCCTGTAACAGAACATATAATATTCATTTAGTTTTCTGAAGTTCTGTTTGATACTCTGCTCATCGTACGCACGTCTTGTCCGAGGGCACGGGCGATTGTCAGAAAATCAGTTTTCTCCCGGGCCGAGTCAGTGCTCAATTTCACTGGCTAACCTGCTAGTTACCCACTGGAAAGGAGTTATATGCTGCAGAAAGAAACTGACCACAGTTGCTGCTCGTGTACTAGTCGCCACTGTACCGCCGGCAAATATAGCGCAGAGTAAAGTAAGGGAGATTAGTCCGGCAAAACTACAATGATACATCGCTGGTAAAGACTGCGGAAGGACTTCAGGTGAGAATATAATCTGATAACGAGTTTGTGTTTGAGAGAACAAACATTGATCATCTTAGACTATGTTAGTTGGCGTTTTAATTAGGTTGCAGTCGTTGCGTTGATTGCTTTTAATAGCAATGTACTTTGAATCTGATTGCACTGAAATTATGTACGTTCTGACCCGGGGTTCTGAGTTATTCGTTTGGGTTCTAGAGATATACAAATATAATTTTGATCAATCTGGTTGTTTTGTCACGAGTGAAATTACGGCTGATCCGCCCTCTCGATCGTTCACCGAATACATTAGGGGTACCGAATGGTCCCATTCAATTTCATTTCATTCCATTTAAAAGTCCTCGCAAAATTTGGTCTTTGCTCGAATTGCTCGCAAAAACTAGATGACTGCTAACTTGCTCGTGTTCGCAAAATTTTTGCGACTGCTCGCATGCTCGGATTCTCGTAAAATATGCTCGATTTCTCCAAATTTCGTGAATCCTGCTTCAAAGTATGGTAGCTTTTAGCTTCTTCTCATGGTGTGTTCACAAAGTTGTGTTACTGGTTGGGTTAGAAAACTTAAGATCTCCTTGAGCGTCCACCCTCTGACTCGCGTGAAGCTACGTGACGTAATTTGGCATCGAACAGCATCCAGCAAGGCATAATGTGGCCACATTATGTGTGGTTGAACTGCGATAAGATCTCAACATTTTGCCTAGTTTTGCGCCTATTGCCCTGTTTTTGAGGTGTCTGCCAGATTACTTGGCGTAAAACAACGTTTCCATTTTTAAAACAAATAGATTCCGGTTAGCGCAAAATTCACGAAGTTGTCGCTGCTCGCCATATGCATTTTCTAAAGTGCTCGCTGCTCGCAAGACAAATTTGACCACTGGTGCTCGCAAGAATAAACCCACTGCTCGCCTGCTCGCAAATGCTCGCAAAGACCATTCGATACCCCTTACTTTGTAAATAAAAGCACAAAACATGACCCCCTGCTACTTTGGCGGGCGTTTAGCATAGTTATTACATCAAATTCTTCGGAAGTGCTTTTCAGACCGATTTGGGACTTTGTGAGTTCTATGATATCCGGCGAAAGTATAATGTTCCGTAATCCAGTTGATCACACCTAGGAATGTAAATGCCGCATGTGACGTCATCAAGCAATAGTGCTCAGGTGAATAATCTTCAAGTGCGCGAGTCAGATGTTAGGCAGGCGGCAGTCCTTGACTCAAACTATTGTACTGCTGTCAGTATTTGGCATGGCCGCTACTTTTCCCAGAACTAATCAAACTTCAAAAGTGTCAAGTCTTTTTGTTTAAAGAAAATTTCAAATGTAGAACGATCGATCTATTTTTGGATTGCTTTTGGACAGAACTAGTACTTCCTGGTAAAGCGATATTCGCAAATTACGTACAAAAAAGCGTTCGTCTAAAGAGAAAATCAATCAAAAGTCAATTGATTTATAACTGCTCCTTCCGGTGTACATCGCCAAAAGGGTAATGCATAATACTGAAAAATAGGAAGCAGAAAAATGCAAACGGTACAGGATGTATGACTGAAAGAGATTTTCAACACCGCACTACTGAGTCACAACTCATGAGTAAAGATAAACAGTAAAACGTCAATGTTGTAGATGTTGTGTATGTTCCTCGGCGCGGTCGGACGTTGTTTTATTGTTATCAATCAAGATGCACATTGAGCTGACCGATTCGAGTTGGATCTGTAACCTCAGGGGTATTTGATCAACTAAAGCATAGTTACTACTAACTATGACTAAAGCGAAACAGAGTTCGTGAGAGTACAGTATGTTAGTAAACATGCAGGAATTTCGATAACTCTTTTGGGATCAATAACAAGCGAATATAAAGGTATCCCCATCATTCTTTAGTCATTCAAATTCCCGAGAGAGTACTGCCCCTACCAAAAAACTTTGGGCGCGAACCTTTAAACCCTTCCCGTCTGTTTCAAACCAAACTTTATGATTTTCCCTTCCCTATTTTAGACCTGAGCCAAAAATCGATACCCCATCTCAGACCTCTAGAATTAGTACACCGCTCTCAGCTAACCAGAAACTCGGGCTTCCATTTGTGTGGACATTCTGTTGAGAAGGGCTACTCTTGGGCTACAAGTTCCTTGTAAACAAAAACATACCGTATTTCAGACCGAGATTGTCTCAATCTATACCCCTTTTTAGACCAGCACAGCTCGAAAACCAAACCCTTTGAGGCCTAAAATACCTATAGATTATTGGGGAGTATGCCCCCCTCCCCCCGCCCCCCTTCAAGCGCGGGTTCAAACTCAACACACCTGCAGGTACACAGGTACAGAGATAGGACACTCCGACTGAAGCTTCAGTCCACTACTGAGCCGCGGACTCCATCTTGGCGCATGCGTTTTTATCACAAGATGGCGGACGATAGATGATTTTCTTGTCAAGCTCTTTTCTAGAATTTTGTGTGCCATAACTTACAACCGATTCGTGAGTCAAAAAGCATAAAAAAGTCAGACAAATGACATAATAATGTCACTAGATCATAGTCCACAATGCTCGGCGTGCAAAATATCAAATTCTTTGATGTGGAGGAGGGGAACTAACGGAGAAGTTCTTTGTAACAGTTGCCACTTGAAGCGTGTTAACTCGAGTATTCGGACTCAAAGGCAAAGCTCGAAGGAAAGTAAGAAGCTTATTGCAAGAATAAAGGCAGGGACAAGAAAGGGTTGGAATGGAAAGTCGGGTGAAAGATCCAGAGGTCGTCGAACGCTGCAAAAGATAAAGAGAAAGGTACATTTAATATTTATTGATGTTGATTTTTAGAGTGACAAAGACTTAGCAGTATGCAGTGCGATTTCCATATAATTATTTACCTAGCCAGTGACAAAATGGCACGGTAAAACATCAAGTTTTGTGTGGGTCGTTCTGCGAGTACTGGATGCAAATGAATCGCATTGTCTTACCTTTGTATCTTGTTCTTTGTATTTTCGCTGTGTCTCTATGTCCGGCAGCCGGACAGGATTTTCAAAATACTCCGTGTCCGGCAGTCAAAATTA